TCAGTCTTTGATGTGTGTCAGTTGTTTCTCTCACATGATGACTCAGTCTTTGATGTGTGTCAGTTGTTTCTCTCACATGATGACTCAGTCTTTGATGTGTGTCAGTTGTTCCTCTCAAATGATGAATCGGTGTTTGATGTGTGTCAGTTGTTTCTCTTACATGATGAATCGGTGTTTGATGTGTGTCAGTTGTTCCTCTCACATGATGAATCGGTGTTTGATGTCTGTCAGTTGTTTCTCTTACATGATGAATCGGTGTTTGATGTCTGTCAGTTGTTTCTCTCACATGATGAATCGGTGTTTGATGTGTGTCAGTTGTTCCTCTCACATGATGAGTCAGTCTTTGATGTGTGTCAGTTGTTTCTCTCACATTATGAGTTAGTGTTTGATATGTGTCAGTTGTTTCTCTCACATGAATCGGTGTTTGATGTTTATCAGTTGTCTCTCTCACATGAAGAGTTTGTCTTTGATGTGTGTCAGTTGTTTCTCTCACATGATGACTCAGTCTTTGATATCTGTCAGTTGAGTTACTGACCGTCTTTAAACGAGGAGCTCTGATAACCTCTTGCTCCTAAATGTTCCATCAGTTTGAATGGAAGGAGGATTTATCTTGTATTTTTGACGTCGGTCAGTTTCCAGCTGAACGTTTCTGCCTCTTTGAAAACAGTTTGATATTTGATTTATTAAGTTACCTGGGATTTGCTGCTTTGTAAATAAAAAAAAAATCTACATTTAAAAAGCAGTTTTCATGGTCTCAGTTCACATAACAGATGTTTTTTATGTTTCAGGGTCGACTCTATTACGTTCGAGTGTCGGCCTATAACATGAAGGGGTGGGGTCTGCCCACTTCCTCGCTCCCCCCATCTGCAGCTCCTTCCAGTGAGTTCCTCCTCCTCCTCCTTCTGGTCCTTCTTCTTCTCCTTTAGTAACATCATTACATCAGCAGGTCACAACCTTCTAGAAACACGTTTTCTTCTTCCTGTAAAAGTCATCATTTCAGGAGCCTTTCCAATTGTAACATCTGGAAAATCATCCAAACAAAATGTGTTTAGCGTTTCCTCTAATTTTCTGAGAATATTAAGATTCACTGCAGGTTTTTACAGAAGCACAGAAAAGATTTGGCAGCCATACAGACTCATCACAGACCAACGACACCTGGTCGATAATCATTTTACTCGTCGTCTCTCTGCTGACGGTCGTTAAGGTAACGAGTTAGAGACGGAAACGCTCCTCTGCAACATCGGTTATATCTCAGCATCACGACTCTCTTTCTCTGCTCGTCCTTGAGCTGTTTGTTGTTCAGTCATAATGTGTGTGTGTGTGTGTGTGTGTGTGTGAGTGAGAGTTGTAAAGAGACAGAAGACGACTGAGTGAAAACATCTGAAATCTCCATTTAAAAGCTGCTGAGAAATGAAAGTTCATTTATTGACCAACCCTTAGTTTATCATTAACATGTTTACGTCTGTCCTCTGATTGGTTGTTCAGATTGGAGGGAGAGTGACGGCCGGGAGCCGAAGAGACGAGGACACATCGAGGCCATGGAGCGCCTGCTGCAGCAGGTCCGAGCCACACACACACACTACTGCTGCGGAGGTGAGTCCTAGTGTCTGTGTCCAGGTGTGTTCAGGTGTATCTGTATAATATATTATAGTGTAATGTGATATAATATAGTATTATATAGTATA